AGCTCAGAGGAACTGGGGGTCAGGGCTGTGGAGGGGGTCGGAGGGGGGTCCGGCTCAGCGGGGCTTACCATGCTGCTTACTCCCGCCTCCCCCCACTCCGGGAGCCTCAGCGCGCCGCGTCCAGGAGTGGCCCTTGACAGCGCTGCAGCGGCATGGCTCCAGCGGCAAGAGCCCCACCCCCTTACCACGCAGCTCTGAGCAGGAGGAACTCAGGCCCCGCTGGAGCGACGCCGCTGCAGCGCTGTCCAGGGCCGTTCCTGGACGCGGCACGCTGAGGGGCCGGGGCAAGGCGGAGGCGGGGGCGAGCCTCTGACATTCTCGTGGGGGCCGCTGCGGGGCCCGGGGCAAATTGCCCCACTTGCTCCCCCTCCCCCCCCCGGGGCGGCCCTGCTAGAGGCCAGGACACCTGGAAGGGAGATCCCTTCTCTAGGGTTTAAAGCCAGAAGGGATCATTGCCGTCATCTAATCTGACCCTCTGCATAACACGGGCCAGAGAACCCACCCCGTACTTCCTGCATCCAGCCCTTAGCATCTGGTGGAGCTAGAAAGAGGCGTCTCATCTCAGGGTAAAGACTCCAAATGAGGGAAACGGCACCACACCCCTGAGCCAGCTGTTCCATTGGCCGCTTCCCCTCCCTGTTAAGAACGTGCCTCTAAGTTTCAGTCTGAACGCGATGGATTCCAGCATCCAGCCGCTGGCTCCGGCTCTGCCATCGCCTGCTAGATGAAAGCGCCCTCTAATGACCACAGATCTCATCTCGTTCCTTCTGCTTCGTTGGCCCACACCTAAAATGGAATCCATGGTGCAAAGGAGCTCCAGGAGCTTCCTCTCCTCGCTGCATGCCCACGGGCCACTGAAGAAAGGTGATGGTGGGAGCATGTGTAGCAGGGGATGTGGGGAATGAGAAATGGGAGGGTCTTGCAGGACCCCAATGGATTCATCATGGGCCCCTCAGAACAGGGAGGAAGGGAGGGCAAAGTCTGATTAATTGAAGCCGATAAAGCCTCCTGGTATTTAAGATGCCTAGGAAGGAGTACGGCAGAAAGGGATTTGAGGGTCATAGTGGATCACAAGCTAAATATGAGTCAACCGTGTAACGCTGTTGCAAAAAAAAGCAAACATCCTTCTGGGATGTATTAGCAGGAGTGTTGTAAGCAAGACTCGAGAAGTAATTCTTCTGCTCTACTCCACGCTGATTAGGCCTCAACTGGAGTATTGTGTCCAGTTCTGAGCACCACATTTCAGGAAGGATGGGGACAAATTGGAGAAAGTCCAGAGAAGAGCAACAAAAATGATTACAGGTCTAGAAAACATGACCTATGAGGGAAGATTGAAAAAACTGGGTTTGTTTAGTCTGGAGAAGAGAAGACTGAGAGGGGACATGATAGCAGTTTTCAAGTACATCAAAGGTTGTTACAAGGAGGAGGGAGAAAAATTGTTCTCGTTAACCTCTGAGGCTAGGACAAGAAGCAATGGGCTTAAATTGCAGCAAGGGAAGATTAGGTTGGACATTAGGAAAAACTTCCTAACTGTCAGGGTGGTTAAGCACTGGAATGAATTGCCTAGGGAGGTTGTGGAATCTCCATCATTGGAGATTTTTAAGAGCAGGTTAGACAAACACCTGTCAGGGATGGTCTAGATAATACTTGGTCCTGCCGTGAGTGCAGGGGACGGGACTAGATGACCTCTTGAGGTCCCTTCCAGTCCTACGATTCTGTTCTGCTATCACTTGCCGGGAAGGGTTTTCTCACCAAGTTAATTGCTGATTCTCAGGTTGGATGAGTGCCTGACAGTAGGGGCAAAGAATGAGTTTAATTGGCACGCATGTCTTCTCCTGAGCCCGCACTGCTCTGGCCGAAACCCACCACCACCCCTCAAGGGTGGGAGGGAAAAGGAATCAGTTGAGATATTGGATGTATCAAATTTCCAGGCACCTTTGCTCAATTCTAATTACATCAGAGACCTCTGGGATTTTCACCCAGGCCTCTCCACCAAGCGGGGCTGCTGGAGGCGCGACGTGGTTGTGTCAGACATTAGCTGCCTTCACCTTCTTGGGCCCAGCACCGGCAGAGCCATGCATGGTGCCTTGCAGCCCACAGTTCGGCCTGCTGACTCTGCGGAGCGCTCAGCGCTTTGGACAGACGAGGCCCAGCTCTCAAACGTCCCAGCCTTTGCCAACCCATCCAGCCTTGAAGACTTCGGGAGCATAGCTGCCTACAGAGCGGAGAGGGGAAAGCCTTCGATTTCCCCCCCCCCCATGACATGCTGGCTCAGTTCCCCTCCCTGCTCACGGCCGAAGGCTTCCCTCTGCCATTTCAGGAGAACCCAAATGGTAACTATGGGGCAGTCTGAAACAATCCAACCCCTAACACAAGTGACCCTAGACAAAGGTGTGTGTATGAGCCACCTGCTCTGCAACCTGCCAGGCCGGGTCAGATCCAGCCAGCGGCTAACCAGGCATCAGGCCTCTCTGGGCTCCTTGTCTCACCTCAAGGGACTCCAGCCCCTTTGTCAATGTGGCTCAGGCTCCCAAGCGCCTAAGTCTCTTTGGAAAACAGGATTTGTGTTCCTAAGTCACTTAGGCCCAGCTCCATGGCAGTTAGGCACCTAAATACTTTTGAGAATCTAGGCCTTCGGTGCCTTTGAAAATGTGACCACCCTCTTGCCCCCCACCCTCCCAGGCCTTAATTATAAAAGCTCTGGGTTCAAACAAGAGCTAGACAAGTTCACGGAGGATAGGTCCATCAGTGGCTATTAGCGAAGATGGTCAGGGTGCAACCCCATGCTTGGGGCGCGCCATAACCTCTGACTGCCAGAAGCCGAGCGAGGGAGACGGGGTGGATCACTCCAAATTGTCCTGTTCTATGCACTCTCCCTGAAGCTCTGCTACTGGCCACTGTCAGAGACAGGATACTGGGCAAGATGGACCATGATGTGACCCAGCGTGGCAGCTCTTACGTTCTTCGGACCATCCTTCCCCTGTACATTGAGATTCTAGCCCAGATTTTCAAAAGTGGCCTGAGATACGAGGGGTGCCCCAGACTTCGGGTTCTCAAGCTGAGACACCAGCTAGAGGCTGGATGTTCAGAACTTGCTGATCCACCCATACTCTGGAAATCAGGTCCTGGGCAAGTGTCTCCTGCGAAGCGTCCCACGTTCAAGGACCCCAAATCACTAGACACCTTTGAAAAGCTTGACCGGCCTTTCCATTTTAATGCTTGAGGGTGTTAGACATGAAACAGGGAAGGAGCTTTTAAAAAATGTCAGGCCTGATTTTCATTGATATCAAGGACAGCTTGTGCTGCATAAAAGGGCCTGCAAGTGGGAGTGAATTCCGTCTACGCTTACTTGGATGTCTTCCACACTGTCAGAGCCTTAATGTCGATGCAAATCAAGGCCCGTGAATTTTTGTCTTGAGATATCCTGGTGATTGGCTCCGTGAGGTCTGTGCCGAGATCTTGTATTTTCCTTTTTTGCCACTTTCTTAAAGATTTAATACAAAGAGATTTTAAAACGAGACTCCCGCAGCAGGGCTGAGATGTTATCGAGTGCAGGCTCGTGCACATTCGGTATCGGCTGCCTCATCTCCTTACAGGGCTTTCATGGCCAACAGCGCCCCCTGTGGATTCATTGTGCTCCTCCACCCCGGGCTCCTCCGGGCCAGGAAGGAGGCAGCTGCAGGTACCTGTGGGCCCTGCACTATAAAAAAGATGTCGAGCAGTTGACTGGAATCTAAAGAAGGGCAGTCACATGGATTAAAAGAGGCTTGGGGAACCCAAACCCCCAGAGCCGGATGGAGAGAGTCAGTAGGATAGAGTGGTTAGAAACGCTACGAAAAACCCAGCGGGAATCTAGCATGGCGTTTGCAAGCCGTCACTCTTCTCACGTGTTACTATATTCCTTCCTCCTGCCCTATGTCTGTCTTGTCTACAGAGACGGTAAGCTCCTCAGGGCAGGGACAACAATAACAATTGTGAGCTCTTTTGTCAGTAGGTCCCGAAGCACTTTACAAAGCAGTGACCCTCGGCAGCCACGAACTTCCAGCTTATCCACCGTTGTTGTGTCTTTTCTCTCTCAGAGGAAGAGCAAACTGCATTACCGCATTGCTGTCATCATAAACTACCTGGGACACTGCGTCTCGCTAGGGGCCCTACTCCTTGCCTTTGTCCTCTTCATGCGCTTGAGGTAAGAGACCCAAGAAGCCCATGGCGGGTGTCCGAGTTCTTTATTCTCCTCCTCCTCCTTTCTCCGCCAGTAAGCAGCCAGAGATAGGTACTCTTGTGCAGCTCGCTGGGATTGAGATGGAAGAACTAGACTTGGTCAGAAACATTTTTGTCTCCATCTACATTTTCCAAGGAAAATTTCAGTATTTCAGCAGAAATTTGAATAACAACAAATTTCGGCCAAAACCCTCAATATTTTGATTTGGAAATGCCTCATGGGCATTGTAGTTCTGGTCCTTCATGCTTCCATTCTCTTCTATAGGCCAGGCTCTCTAATTGGACTACATCTCCCATGATGAACCACAGTCTTGGGGAGGAAGGGTGGTGCATTATGGGAGTCCATCCCAAGGTGCATCGTGGAAGATGTAGAGCAGCCGGGGAGCCTGGCCCATGGAGGACAATGGGGACATTAGGCACCTGAACTACAGCTCCCATGAGGCATTGCGGCAGTAAATCAAAACTGAAATATTTCAAGTTTTGGCTGAAATATTTTGATTGGGCGCATTTTGTTTTTCAAAACAAAATTTCCAAGGAAAGCAGGCATTTTTCACAAAAACAGTTGTTTAGTTAAAAATCCGATTTTCTGACACAAAAACAGTTTAGACAAGAAATTTCCGAGCAGTTCTAGGAAGCACTGTTTTGAGCCCCTGCTCGCGTTTCCCATCTTGTCCATATTCCCCAACAGTCACTCCCCACAGACCTATAAATCGGAGAGCTTGGGGAATGGATTACTACCTCTTTGCCAGAAAGATGAACTGTTTGTGTCTTTTTCCGCTCAGTCGAGTTGGTGGGCAATTTTTTAACAAGTATCAGGGGGTAGCCGTGTTAGTCTGTATCTACAAAAACAACAAGTAGTCTGGTGGCACCTTAAAGACTAACAGATTTATTTGGGCATAAGCTTTCGTGGGTAAAAACCTCTTTTCTTCAGATGCATAGAGTGAAAGTTACAGATGCAGGCATTATATACTGACACATGGAGAGAAGGGAGTTACTT